CTGTGCATTCATTCACGCATCCACGAAAACAATAATTAACTCCTCCTGTTTATAACCTCATTATCGGTTTCTAAAAAAAGAAAAACAATTTTCCTTTCCTTTTCTTTCCTTTCTTTTCCTTTCCTTTCCTTTCTTTTCCTTTTTCCATGTGATAACGTTATCACTTATTAAAAAAATTTTAAAACTTTTTAAAATTTAAATTATTATTTATTTTAAAAATAATAAGACGTGACAATGATATTTTTGAGTTTACGAAGGGAAGGAAGAGAAGGGGAGGGAGCGGGGGAAAGAGAGGAAGGGGGAAAAGTAAAATTTATTTTTTTGAAATCATTAAATTACCTATTTTTGTGTGTTTTGTTTTGTTAGTAAACCAGACCCGAACTAGGTTTGGTCTAGTCGGTTTTGTCTTGTCATTGCCATTAGTTTTAATAAATGTAGTTGTCAGAACATTTTTGAGTTTTTTTTTTTTTTAAATATTTCCAGTTTTTAAATTTATTAGGAGTAAATAAAACAGACGACAAATAACAAAAGATAACAAAAAAAAAAAAAAGTAAATTATAATTACCATTTTCCTTCGGTGGATTTTTTTTTTTTTTTTTGTTAATTCGATAAATCGAAAATTGTCATCCGCTTTGTATATATACCTGATTTTTTTTTCGGAAGGGAGGGAGGGGGGAAAGGTTGGGTTCGTCAAAGGTAATTCATTTATATATATATATTGTGGTTTCTTTTTATTTATTTATTTGAGTTTCTCATCATAATTGTGGATCAGAATAAAAAAAAACACGACGCGTATTCGAGTTTAATTCAATAACACGTAAAATTCATTGAATTGAACTCTAAATAATTGCATATAAAAACATTTTCTTCAAATATTTTCTCTTTTATGTCGAGAACTTTTTTTTTTTTTTTTTTCTATAAGTTTAATATTTCTGTAAGTAATACTTATTTTTTTTTACCCTATGAAATTCGAGATATCGTCGTGTTGTTTGTTTATTGGGGATTTTTTTTTTTTTTTTTTTTAAAAAGTATTGTCGTCCGTTTGTTGTTATTCACAATGGATATAAGTGGTTTCACTATATGTTCTTTGTGTATTAAAACAAATTGATTTCAATGATGATGACAATTTTTAATATTATTATTATTATTATTATTCATTCAGGTATTTTCATGTATATGTGTACGATTTTAAAAGAAATCAAAGGTAAAAGAGAAAGAGAGGATATAAAAGGGAATAATGAAATTGCATTTGTTAAAATTTTTATTGTTTTTTTTTTTTTTTTTTTTTTTTTTTGTTTTTTACCCCATTTTATTTTTAATTTTTTTTTTTTGTGATGGTTATCACATGTTAAAAAGTGTTGTAAAACGTTAACAGTTTTTTAGACTTTAGAAATAAACAAAAATCATCATTCATCACGAAATGCGAGGGCCGCACCTTTCCTTTGATTCAATTACATCAGATAATAATGACGCGGGTAATAAAAACATATTGAGCGTGTAAAATGTTTTCTTTTTTTTAAATTTAAATTTAAATATTGAAAAAAAAAAATTATATTAAATGATGATAGGATTCTACACACGTATATTAATATCCAACATGTCCGTCTATTTTTTTTTTTTAATTATTTTGAATAAGGCGAGAAATTTTTAAATTTTTGTGGGTTTCTCTGTTTCCGGCCAAATATATATATATATAATACAAGACTACAAGTATCATTTACAAGTTTGGTAAAGAAATTAGCATTGTCTATAATAAGGTTTCTTATTTTAATGGAGTGAGAGAAATTAACCACAAACGGGGAGACGCACACGCACACACACACACACGAATATGTCATTATTATTATTATTTTAAAGGGAAATGACTGAATCCTTGTAATTTTATTTTTATTATTGATTTTTTTTTTTTTTTACTTAAAACAATATGTACAGTTTTGTTCTGGATATAATCATTGTAATATGTGAATGGGGCGTGTGTGTGGAGGGGGGGTGAATGGGGGTAGCTAAACATTAGATTTATATTATGAATGTCATGAGCGAGAGTAGGTCACCGTAGTTTTTTTTTTTTTTAACTTTTTGTTTACGGTATATTTTATTATAATAATAATAAATACGTACGAATACTTTTTTGTTTGTTTGTTTGTTTAAAAAATATAATAAATAAAAGTTATAATAAATATTTCAACGTGAAAAGATTTATAAGAAGTAAAAAAAACGATGACATTTTTTTAAGTAAAGGCACACAGGGGGAGTCCAAAATGACGTGTGTGTGTGGTCAATAACAACTTTTTCCTTTTTTTCAATAGATTTTTTACACATAGAGTGTTTTAGAATTAGCGCGTATTTTCAAAAAAAAAATATATATATATATATCAAACTGACCAGTGAAATTATTATTATTTTTATTATTATTATTATTTGTTTTTCTTTCCACATGAAGAAAACAAAGAAAGAAAGAAAGAAAAAAAGAAAAGCAATACAATATTTTTACTACTCAACCAGGGTTGAATTCTATAAATACATAAGAAAAAAAAAAAAAAAGTTTTTCTCGGTAAAAGCAGTAAAGTTGAATTATGTTTTCTGGGTTAGTTTTGTAAGCTTCCCTAGGGAACTTCTTTCCTTCTCATACACTACTATCATTTCTATATATATATATATATATTTATTATTATATCATTCTTTCCATTAGAAAACTTAAATAATTTTTCTTATTTTAAATGAATCTATACGACTTTATAAAAAAAAAAAAAAAATTCATTTTTTTTTATTAAAAAAAAAAAAATGTTGTTCACTTTATGTTTTTGTTTTTAAAAACTTAAAATGGCGTCATTTAAAGTTTTCACAACTGAATAAAAAAAAAAAAAACTTTTTCTTTTAAATTAAGTAATATAGAAATAGAAAAATTTATGAATGGGAGAGAGGGAGAGAGAAAAAAATAAATAATTAAACACGATTGTATGTAATGATGTTTATAAATTGATTTTTGAGAAAATGAAAGAAAAACACGCGCATACATACTAGAAAAGATGAATTAAATCTGTATGGGTTGTATCAAAATTGATATAAATATAACGAAAGATGAACTCTTTTTTTTTTTTTTCTACCCCCTCAATGAACAACAACAACAACAACACGAACGCCATATGCATTCCTTCTAACGAACATTTATTTCCAGAATTTGGGAAACCCAAGCCAAACACTCATTTAACATAAATTTGACGTTTTTTTTTTTTTTTTTTTTTTTTTATCATCACCTCCTACATCTCATGCTAACCGTAAGCGAAACTATAAAGATTTACTCAACTTCCTGTGTCAAATTCATTTCGTACCCTTTTAAACACAAACGTTTTTATGTCTTTTTTTTTTTACTTAATATTCATTTTTTTTTTTTGTCTTAAAAAGATTATTTAACATATGCTATTTTTCATTATTATTATTATTATTATTATTATTATTATTATTATTTTCCGTTATTCGTCTAAAAAAAAAATAATTTTTTAGGGAGCCAAAGGGGTTTTTAAAAAAAATATTTTTAGCGTTAGAAAAAAACCACGTGTTTCACTATTTTTTTTTTCATACCTGGTTATTATTATTATTATTTTGTTGAATAATATATAAAATTGCAAATTTAATGTTTTTTGTTGTAAATAAAATATCATCATTATGTATGAAAATTATGAGAAATCATTTTCATAAATTAATGATAAAAAAAAAAATTATTTAAGTAGCAATATTTAAATACATAATTTAAAAAAAGAAAAAAAAAAACATTTATATATGGATATTAATAAAAGGAGAAGAAGAAGAAAAAGAAGGGATGAGAGAAACATAGAAAGAGATGAGAGAGAGAGAAAAAAAAAGAGAGAAAAAAAGGAGGTGAAATCAAATAAGTCTCCGCCTCTTGTCATAACAAGTTATGAATTGTATGGTCGTAAACCTCCTTCAGACATGCGTTCTTCCCTCCAATTGCATTACCTGTAACCACTCATAAATAATAATAATTTATTATTATTATTATTATCGTAATATTTTCTTCGCATAATAATACAAAAAAAAAAAAATTTTAAATTAAATCGAAATATACCCGATACCTGAAAACAACTTTAATTTTTGTAAAAACAACTAAATCAACCCAAAATAAAGAACTTATAAAAATATCTATTAATAATTAATTAAGTACGTAATTTATGTAAATAAGTAAAAAAAATAACGGTTATTATTATTATTATTTTTATATGAAATAAATGTAAATTTATTAATTTTTTTTTTTTTTTTGATTTTAAATTTTCTGATTTGAAAATTGTTGTTGTTGTTGTTGTTGTTATAAATGGTTGTTTATATAAGTTTACAAGTTTTTATTTAAAACAATGGCGTGTGCATTTTTTTTTTTTTATGAATTTTTTTTGCCACATTAAGAAAATATTTACAAGGTTTTAATTATTGAGCAGGATGTGATAGTCCGTTTGGCAAACATGCCAAAGGAAAATTTTGAAATTTTGCCAATGGTATTCTTAAAAAAAAAAAAAAAAAAAAAAAGGTTAACTATTAAACGACTAAGTTGACACTGCCACACGATTTTTTTTTTTTTTCTATCACCTGTTTTAAATAAATCATGGAATTTAATTTTTTAACAACACATTATTTTTTTTTTTTTACGTAGACTTAAAATTATTAATCATAAATTTAGAAAAAAAACTATCGATCAGTTTTCATAAAAAAAATATTTAAATATTAATAATAATAATAAATAGTTTTTTATGCGACCCGATGGATTCTTACACATTTATATATTATACGTTACTGACGTTTTTATATATATATCGAATATCATCAAAAAAAATTTTTTCTTGTTTATTACCGTACGCGTTCATTAATGTTTTACAGTAATGATTTTATTATTATTATTATTTTTTTTAGGTATTGTTAATAATTCACCGCCGTCAGAGGACGAGACATTTCCTCAGGTATGCTGCCACTGCCGGGTAGAGATCTCATCTTTAATGAAATTAATGGAACATCAAAAAGACTGCAATTCGAAATTCAGATTTTGTAACGGAGATCAGTTTGAGAATGAAGACGTTGCAGAAGAAGAAAATGAAGAAGAAGAGTTTTGTAAAGAAGGTGAAAAAAGACAAGAAGTTGTTAGGAGGCAAAGACAGGATGCTGAAAATAATAATAGTGTTGAGGGTGAAGAAGGTGAAAAAGAAAATGACTTGTCGCTCGGTTTTCCTTTTTCTGTCGGTGGAGTTCCTGGTCATGTCACATTAGAAGCATTGCAAAATACCAAAGTGGCAGTAGCACAATTTGCGGCCACCGCTTTGGCTACAAATGGAGACAATCCTGCCGCTTTGCAAGAATTAGCAGTTTTGCAGTCTACTTTATTTACGTTGCAACAACAACAAATGATGCAATTAAGTCTAATTCAACAGCTTCAAAATCATTTGACCGTTCACCCAAAAGAAGAGGACACGACTTCGTCATCTTCTTCATCTAACCTTCCAATTAATTCTGGTATTCCGATTCCTGCAGCGCCTCCTGCTCAGCAAACTTCCTCGAAACCTATTCGAATTCCCTCACCGGTAAAAACCGAACCGGAACCGACATCACCCCCAACTGTACAATGCGTACCTGCTAGCCATAAGCAATCATCATCCTTTGAGCATCAGCCGCTCACCATTCCTAAACCTCCGGTGCCACTAGGATCTCCAATACAATCAGCTCCTCCGACTTCTAATCACACGGCCATGGCATCGATATCATCTAGTTTAGCATCATCTATAATAACAAACAATGACCCCCCACCTTCATTGAATGAACCAAACACATTAGAAATGCTACAAAAGCGAGCTCAAGAAGTTCTAGATAACGCCAGTCAGGGACTTCTTGCTAATAATTTAGCAGACGAATTGGCTTTCCGAAAAAATGGCAAAAATTCTTTGTCTCCGTTGTCGGGAGGGCGCAATGAGCCTTTTTTCAAACATCGTTGTCGATATTGCGGAAAAGTCTTCGGAAGCGATTCTGCTTTGCAAATTCACATTCGATCTCACACGGGTGAGCGTCCCTTCAAGTGCAACGTATGCGGAAGTCGATTCACGACCAAAGGAAATCTGAAAGTGCATTTTCAGAGGCACACATCTAAATTTCCCCATGTTAAAATGAATCCTAATCCCGTGCCCGAACACTTAGATAAATATCATCCGCCTCTTTTGGCCCAAATGAGCAATCAAAGTTTACCCTCAGGAATTCCCCCTCCTCAAACTCAGCCTCCTCATCCTCATCGCCCTTCGCCACACTATCCTTACACCGACAGCCCGACGTTTTCTTCGTCGGGATTAACTTTATTTAGGCCTCCGTTACCCCACGAACTCATATCCAGGCCGTCGCCGGTATTAGCACCCATTAGATCTCACGAGTCGAACGTATTAAAACCTATCATTTCCCTACCAATGTTTCCTCCGAGAGAAGAGCAAGATACGCCGGAAAATTTATCAAAGCCTTTAAATCGCTCCATGTCTTCTGACGAGCAAAATTTTCACGAACGACACAAAAACAGGTCTAGAAGTAATTCTCCGGTAGTTATAAAACAAGAATACAACGATGTAGAAAGTGAAAAAGTGTCTGTACTTTATCCAAACGACCTGGAAAGAGCAAAGACACCCGTTGAAGATGATAGTTCCGTAAACTCAATGAGTAACACGAGGAACTCTTTCATTGGTAATAAAATAGAAAATTTACAAAAAAATTTTACGCCTGGTGACGAGGAAATTATGACAAATTTAAACAAAGAAACCCCTAACAAAAGACTGATTACGAGTCAAGAAGTGCAATCTGATAGGGTGAAATGTGAATCAGAAAAAAACACTTTTTTACAGAACCTTCATTTTGATGAATGCAGCATGGATAGCAAGTACAGTGATGAGGACATTTTGGAAGAAAATTTCGAAGAGAGAAGTATTTTGGACGCGGAAAAGTCAGATGATCGTCCGGAAAATTTATCGAGTAAAAGTCCAGGAATGAATCAATTATCGGATATTACTAGTCAAAAAACTGCAGTCAAAACAGTACAGTTTCCTGGCTCGATTTCCCCACATAGTAGTAATTCTTCCGGTAGTAATAATTTTAGTGTTCACATTGGTACCGGTTCGAATTCTCTTGAAATAGATCCTTCCAAAGACCCAGCGATATACAATTCATTACTTCCCAGACCCGGAAGCAACGATAACTCTTGGGAAAGTTTAATTGAAGTGACAAAGACCTCAGAAACTTATAAACTCCAACAATTAGTTGATAACATTGAGCATAAGTTAACAGATCCCAATCAGTGCGTCATTTGTCATAGAGTCTTGTCGTGCAAAAGCGCTCTGCAAATGCATTACAGAACTCATACGGGAGAAAGACCGTTTCGGTGTAAAATTTGCGGAAGAGCATTTACAACCAAAGGAAATCTAAAGACACACATGGGTGTTCACAGACTCAAACCACCAATCAGAATGTTACATCAATGCCCAGTCTGTCACAAAAAATTCACAAATGCTCTAGTCCTTCAACAGCATATCAGGCTTCACACCGGAGAACCCACTGATTTGACTCCGGAGCAAATTCACGCAGCTGAAATTAAAGATTTTTCCAGTTCCGGAGCTTTTACTCATCCCAGTTTTCTTCCTCACGGATTTTCCATGTCTAGTCTGCAACCATCGGGTCTTCCTCTCGGAGTGAGGTCAGACTTTGATAGAGATTCGGAGACAAAAGACGACCATCAGGACGATGATATCTTCGACGAAGACGACGATGATTTTTCTAGCAGTAGCGAATCGACGCCCATTCCATTCCCACCGTTTTCATCTTCCATCACGAGTATTGAAAATCAAGTTGCGAGCATAAACATCCCTACTCAGCTCAATCGTTCGGCAGAAGATTTATCCGTTAATAAACCGTCTAGTTCTCCAACGTTTCAAATAAACGGTATGAAATCACCCGGATCTCAAGAAGGAGCGAGAAGTCCCAGTTACTCGGACTACAGAGGAACACCTTCGCCACCCCCTAAACCTCAAACTCCCTTAAATATTCCACGACCGTCATCATCTCGCACTCTCAGCAGTCCAACCAATAGCGAATCTAATTCGTTAGGAGCATTGGATCTAACTCCGAGATCGGCGACGACATTAAGATCGAGTCCCGTACCTCCTCAAACGGGAATTTTTTCCAATTTGGGACTCATACCGGGAGGAGGACCTTCGCCGCTCATGACTTCTGCTCTTTCATCGTTAACCTCTTCTGTACTAACATCGACAGCATTCAGTCCTTTGGGAATGGCCGTCGGACCAGCAGGTAGTGACATTAATTTCACCATCGAAATATAATTTAAATCGTTTTTAAAAAAACATCACATTACATAATATCACAAAATTAAATTATTAAAAAATTTCAATACGCGTGTCACGTGACTTTAGAATCACATTTAAATATTATTTCGTTCCTTAAATCGAATGCTAAACAATAATGATAATCTTATTTATTCATTACTGATTCGCGTGTAAAAAAAAAAAAAATTAACATTTTTTTTTTTTTAAAAAAAAAAAAAAAAAAAAAAAAAAAACAAATTCGGATAATTTATTTAAATATCCATTTTTTCCTAGGCGTAAAATTTAAATTTAAATTTAAATTTAAATTAATATTTAAAAAAAAAAAAAAAAATGTTTTTTTATTTTTTATTTTCAGTTCGAGGAAATACAACGTGCAACATTTGCTTTAAGACTTTTGCATGTAATTCAGCTCTTGAAATACATTATAGGAGTCACACCAAGGAGAGGCCTTTTAAGTGCACCATTTGCGACAGAGGATTTTCAACAAAGGTAATAAAAAAACTTATTTTTTTAAACAAAAAAAAATTAAATTAATTAAAGTAAATATTAAAGTAATGCTTTTATCAATAACACATGAGTTAAAAAATTTGTTTTAATAGCAAAAAAATTATTATTATTAATATTAATTTTGTCGGGCATGTGGCGGAAAATTCCCAAACCAAATAATTAAAATGATTTTCTTTTGTTTTAAACTAATTATAGTCATTTTTTTGGGATAATATGTACATAATTGTTTTTGAAAACGTTAAGTATTGATTTTCAATAATGGTAATACGATTAGAAAATGTCCCAAATTCTTTATTATATTAAAAATAAATAAATAAATAAATGAATTTAATAAATAATAGAGAAGCCAAAAAAAAAAAAAAATATTTTAAGCCAAAATTTAATAAAGCTCAAGTGAAAATAAAAATTAAAAAATCAAAATCGAACCGTAACCGCCTCTCATCCTTATTGTAAAATACAATAAGTTTATTTATTTATTTATTTAAACAATAAAAAAAAAGACCCCATGAATAAATAATAAATCAAATTACGAGAATCGTTCATACGTAAATAAAATAATTTTTTTTTCTCTTTTTCTCTCTCTCTCTTTCTCTCTGTTATTCTCTCATTTCATTTTTTATTATTATTTATTTTAAATAAATTCCCGTAATAATAATAATAATAATAATAATAATAATAATAATATAAATGAAAACAATGAAAAAAATAAAAAATTTATGGATGAAAGACGAAAATTAATTTTTTTGTTTTGTTTTTTTCGTACGACCCAATAAAAAAAAAATTTTTGTGTTTGTAATTTTCACGTTCTACAAATAAAAAATGTAATCAGTCTTATGTTTTAATAATAATAATAATAATAATAATAATAATAATAATAATAATAATTAATAAAACACCTGTCTGTTGTTTTTATTTATTTTATTTAAAAATTAAATGGCCAACCAAACGTAAAAAGAGAATTTAATATTAAAAACATAAAATGAATTTTTTATTTTATTTTTAAAACGTTATTACTTTTATTATTATTATTATCATTATTATTATTGTCAGTGCAAATAATAGTATTACAGAGTTAATTAAAAAAAAAAATTTTTTAATACGAAGTAACAACAACAACAACCTTAAACGAAAAATTTATTAGACTAAAAATAATTTTATTATTATTATTATTACTATTATTAAAACAATACATTTATCTAGAAGAAGCCATCTTTTTATTTATTTTTTTTAAATATTATTTGGCAAGGAGCTAAAAAATTTGTCTCTCAATTTAATTTTTTTTTTTTTTTTTTTTTTAAACTAAGTCTGACACAGTTAATTATAAAATTAATTTATTTCAAAGGTTGCCGTATAATTTCTTTTGTTAAAAAAAATTAAAAAATTTTATTATTATTATTATTATTATTTCATTTGAATTTTTTACAATTGAAACGTTTTTCTTATACCCAGACTATGCAAAACTCATGTTTCGGTTTTTAAATTTTATGAATAACAACATAAAGTATAATTCATTTTACTTATAAAAACTAATAACATCCAAAATACACACCAAAAATTATTATTATCATTATTGTTGTTATCACAACATAATTGGAAACAATCTCCAAACGTTTTGTTTTGAAATTTGTATTTAAAGTTCCCTTAAACTTATTTAGAAAAAAGAAAATAAAAGAAAGGGAAAAGTTTTTCCCAAATATTCATGGCGATTAATTTTTTCAGAAAGATGATAAGAATCCGTGGTGTAGACATCAGTGGCGTATCCAAGACCAAAAACTTGATGACGAAACAAATAGAAAAGAGAATTTCCAGTTCGTTCCTATCAATGATAACAACCCGATTGGTTTACCTTATCCCGGGTACGCCACTGATTGGATGCACCCGGTAAGAATAGTAATATTATATGATAAGAAAAAAAAAAAACCGTATACTTCTTTATATTATCATTATGTCACTTCCGAATGATTATTGTTTTTGTCAAAATGCCTACTTCGAAATCGTCAATTATTATTATTATTATTAATTAGTATTTTGTTTTATTTTTATATTTTTTTTTCTTCTACTTAATTTTTTTTAGGGAAATATGAAGCAGCACATGTTGACGCACAAAATAAGAGATATGCCAGCTCATTTATTTGAAAATAAAAAATCACCGACAAGTTATGGAAACAACAACAACAATCAACAACAACAACAACAACAAATTTCATTAAATAATAGAAACGATGAAATAAACGAAATGAGCAACATGAGCAATAGTAATTCGACAGCTGCAGAGGATCCCAAGCCGACGAGTGTAGAAATTCCCGAATCACCACCAGTAAATCCAGAGCCCGAGACACCTGTGTCCGTCAAAAGATCTCCGACTGAAAGTGATCTTCCCGTCCCTAAAAGGCAACCTAGTAAGAAAAACAATACCCAATAAATTTTCTTTCTATTTCAGCAGCTTTTAATGTTTAGTTAATTTTTTTTCCTGCCGTTCAGAAAAATAAAAAGAAAGTAACTCCTAAATTCGTGATGTTTGTGCTACTATTTCTAGACATGCCGAAGCATTTATGTCACGTATGCAATAAGAATTTTTCCTCTTCCTCTGCCTTACAAATTCACATGAGGACCCATACGGGAGACAAGCCGTTCAGATGTTCAGTATGTCAAAAAGCGTTCACGACAAAGGGTAATCTTAAGGTATGATATTACTAGTAAAAGCACCCTTTTAAATGTCTGACAAAGAAAATCTTAAAAATTATTAAGTTTTCTGAAATGGCTAAATGAGTCTTTAATTAAATTATTAAATTTCTTTCTGTTAAAATATGATACGATAAATAAAAACTTGTTATAAATTTTTATTAATTATAAATAATTATATTTTTAATCCATTGAAAATAATCTAATCATAAAAAAAAAATTTTTTTTCCTTATACGTATGATTTTAGGTACATATGGGCACTCACATGTGGAGTAATGGTGCATCAAGAAGAGGTCGAAGAATGTCTCTTGATTTACCACCGATTCCAATCAATCCCAAAGATTCGGAATTTCTTCAAAGAAGACCAGATTTATTTTACCCTTATCTTCCAACACCGTTTCTCAATGGAGTTCAACAAAAGGTATTCAATAAAAAAATTGAAATCAATTTAATAATTTTCCAAATAAAACAACATAATTTTATTTTAGCTGAGTGAAATGTCGGTCATACAAACGGGAAATCATCATCCGAATAATGGTTTGATACAACCAGGAAATAAATTCGGAGGAATTGTTAGCTTTGGAGGATTGGCAACCCCTGATAAATCATTCCAACCAGGTTCTTGTTCTCCCCCTGTTGAAAATCTAACATCTCCTAAAGAATCACCACGTATAGATACTCCTTCGGGAATTCAAATGACGAACGACGATTTATCACGTAATGTTTGGGACCCATATTTTGAAAAAAAAATTAATCAAAATGAAGAAACAATTAAGACATCATCCCCAACGGGTAGCATGTCTCATTCTTCTGCGCAAAGAGGAGAAAGACTAGCAGCATAAAATTATATTATTATTACCAAACATATCTTTGTTGTGGTTCGATTTAAAAAAAAAAACCGTTATGAAAAAAAAAGTGAAATCATAAAAATATATTTAATTTATACAAAAATTTAAATAAAAAAATATATAAATATATATATTATATATATATAAAAACGGAAAAATTTATTCAAACATAATTTATATAATTTTTTAAAAAAAGAAAATTTTTGAAAATAATTTTAATTAGGGAGTTTATATAAAATAAAATGATTATTATTTTAAATGAACTAATCAATTGATATAATTAAATTTAAATCATTTATATAATTTAATTATATTTAAAAAAAAAAAATTGTAAAAGAACTCTTTTATGAATGAATATTATCCTTAAAAGGGAAGAAAGGAATTCTGCAGGAGCAGAAAATGTTCCTATTATTAAACTAGTCTTATCAAAATAAAAAAATTAGTTAATAAAACTAATAAATAATGTGAAAATTTAAAAAAAAAAAAAAAAGACTTTAAATTAAAATTTTTGGCTAATAAAATAATGTATATAAAATAATATTAATAATAATAATAATAATAACCTTTCTATCTTAAAATTATTTTTAAATAAATGTTTTAAATAAATTTAATAAGCATTTTAAGAGATGGTGAATTTAAGAAAAAAAATTACTTTTAGTGATTCGGTGGTGCATCATAAAAAAAAAAAAAAACAAGACAAAATACATAAAAGATCTCATTACGCCTTTATAGTTTTACTATGCCTATATTAAATTTTTTTTAGTAACAAATTTAATTTTTTTATTTATTTTTTCAAATTAAAAAAAAAAACTCACAAATATTCATTGAACAATATATATATTATTCGACCTTTAAAATAAAAATTATTCTCTTCGAATTAAAGACATAAAATTTTATAAGTAGACCAAACTTTTTTTTTTTTAATTTTAAATAATAATAATTTATGCAATTGTTTTATTCAATTTCTATTTGATGTTTTTAGATGACTACTTTTCATTTAAAAACGCTAAAACTTATATAATGGAGAAAATAAATTGAATCCGTAGAAGAAATGATTATGGTAATTTACAAAAATCGATTTCCATTTAAAACTGTAAAACATTGCAAGAACCATATTTAGGGAAACAAATAATAACAAACCCTTAGTAAATTAAATTTTAATAAATAGGTTTAAAACAAGGAGACAACACAGTAAATGAAAACTTATATTCTATGAAAAATTTACCGAGAAATAATGAAAACTAGTGATTGAGATTACACAAAAACATTTTCCCTTAATTTAAAATGTTCTCAACACCTTCCAGAGTCCACATATTTGAATAAATTACAAGTTTTTTTTTAAAATAATCAACCAAATGTATTTCCTTTATAAATATCAAGCTCACTTACCTTCACGAATAAAATCTCTTATAACATGATGTCACCCATTACAAAAAATTGAAAGATTACAAAATTAAATATTGAATAATAATAACTTTATATAAAATTATAATTTCACTGGCACATTACAAATATGTGATATAAAAATAATGCACTACTTTTTGTCACTTAAAAATTATATTAAATACTTATAACAAAAATATAATACAAATTTAGCAAAAACATTACAGAAATAAAAAAAAATAAAATGAGTTAAATTACTTAACTGTTACAATCAGCAAAATAAAATCATTTTATTTTATTTTAATTTATACTGAGAACAGTAGCACTCTCCCGCGCTTTTAATAGGATCACATCAAATCTTCATCATCAAAGAGATCATCAAAATCTAAAATGAAGTGGAATCAGATAAAGTGAATCAAAATAAACAAAGTTTTTCAAAAGGATAATTAATCATAATAATTTAATTATGAGTTAATCATAAAATAAATTTTACCATTGAAAAACCCATCATGCACAGTTTTTTCATTTACAGCAGAGAGATCCATTAAAAGCCCAACAGAACCGCCAGTCTAAAATTAATCAAAATATTCAAATTATAATCGACAATGAATAAAAACAAAAATTACACAATTCAACCCAAAAAATTAATTACTTCTTCTGCATCCACATAGGTACCGGCTCCTTCGGGAAACATTTCATCGGCGACAGCAGTAGGTTTCATTATTAATCAATTCACTTATTTCAAATTTATTTTTCTTATATAAAAACAATAACTATATTTACCCTTCACAGAATGTTTAAACACATTGAACAGTTTGCCGCGTTTGATCATAAAGTAAAATTTTATTTTATTTATTTACTCTAAGATAAACTGGGCGCGAAATGTTTTAGAACGTACAATTTATAGAAGAATTAACGTATGGGATAAATAAGGTGAATATAATAACGAATTTAGTTCACAAAATTAATGCAAGTAATGATTTAAAATTACGTTTTTTTTAAAATATTTAAAATAAATAAAATCTTGATGTAATTAGAGTTCGCTATGAAGTTATCGCAATAAATCATAGATATTTTTATAGTGTAATATTTTTATTATAAATATTGGCTCGAAGAAACATGGCGCGTAAACGGTTAATAATATGGCGAATCTGCAATGCACAAATTTTAAGTAAGTTACAAAAAACAATTTTTTTATTACAATCATGCTTTTCTTAAAAAGGGATTATATTATTCATATGTGCAATATATGTTATCATTAAAATAATTACTTTATTTATTTCTATTTATTTAGTTTAATCTTAATCTTTATAAACTACTAAATATAGGCACTGATAATTATTAGTGCTTAAAATCATAGCATTTATTTTCATGTAATTACATTTAAAATTATTAATTACTGTAATTAAAGTTTAAAAAAATAGTATTTGCTAAAATAATTGAAACTAAATAATTTTTTAATACTCAGACAAAATAAAAAATCTTATTAATATTTGTAATTCTTTTTTTTAATTTATATTTTTAATAAAACATAACTATATGAACTGTAGAAAAAGTTTATATATATATTCAATTTAAGAAAATGGCTAATTTGAGAAGAAAAAAAAAAAAATTGACTTAGAGGAGAATCACTAAGCAAAAAAAAATCGTAACATGAGTTTTTTTTTAGACATTGGTCTCCTGCCAATAAATTTATAAATTAAAATAAAAGCATATTCATACTACTTAGTCAGTTTTTAAATTTAAATCTATATGTTTTGTTACTTTTTTTTTTTTTTGTTTTTGTTTTCTATGAGTTAATAATTGCAAAGTTTTAATTTTTATTTTAAAATTATTTCAAAAAATAAGAAGTTTTATAAAGTTTAAAATATATTTGTTTATAAAAGACTAAATATAAAAAAAATTTGAAATCATAGAAAATTTAAATTTGTTTTTATATTATTTTGAATCAAAAAAAAAAAAATCAAGGATTTAAAAAATAAATTTTTTTTTATAATCATTATTTTTTGCAATATAGAAAAACAATAAAAATTATATATATAAATCTGTAATATTTTTTGATTTATTCTGTTTTTATTTTTTCTATAAATAAAAAAGGTGATGTACCTAAATAAGTAAAAAATTTGTTTATAAGTTACTATTTCTTGTTTAAACAAAAAAGAAATTTTTTAAAAATAAACTATAAGTGAAATTACAGTATTATTGAATTTTCAAACAATATGGCTGAAAATTTTAAACCAGTCAACGAAGAAGATTCTGACAGTAAAAGTGACACACTATCAAGCATAACCCAAAAACAATTAGAAGAACTTTTAGATGGAGAATTTAAAAATTCTGATTTTGAAATAAATTCAAAGGAAAAAAAACATTTTTCATTTTGGAAATGGTTTAAAAAGAATAAAAATGTATCAGGAAATTCATCGAAAAATTTAAAAGAATCCTCAGCTCCGGCATTTTTTTTATTCGACAAAAAAAAAGATTCGAGCACGGAAAGTTTAGATACCATATTTAGTACTCAAACAGTAAGAAGTTTTGCTTATATACCTTCAATTAACTATCAACCTTCGGCTCCGCCATCAACTTTATTAGATTTGGAAAGAGATGAAAATTTTTATACGAATTTTCTCAATGATGAAAATTCATCAGCCAACGTAGAGACAAACAAAGAAAAGAAAAAAAAACGTAAAGCTCCAGGTCCACCTCGTTTGAATCGTGAAAATAGTTTGCCAACAACATTAGAACGTGAAAGCAAATACGAAGATGAAAAAAATGATGTTCAAACGTATCGAAGACGAACATTAAGTGATTCTTGTAAGGATAAAAAAGGAGATACCTACAGCCACGTTCAAGGAAAAAGAAAAGCACCATTACCACCTTCGGTTAATTATTCATTATATCCAAATTTACAAAAAGTCAATCCAGAGAATCAAAATTATAATAAAAAGAAAAAACCAGCTCCTCCTCCACCTTCAGAAAAAAAAAATCATAGTAAAAATACAACAACAAAGACAAAAACTAACCAAATTGATGATGATGGTAAAGACGAGAAAAAAAACGACAGGACAACAGCGAATCCTTCAAATGTTCATCAACCAAATAAAACTGATTTAAGAAAAGATGAAGATTTATCAACGTCTCCACTTTCATTACGTTCTTGGTATAAAAGAAATCCAAAAGATTTAAATAAAGGAAGTGAAAAAAACAAAAATAAAAATTCAGAGAAAGGAATTTTCGAATCTGGTAATATAAGAAAAAGTCTTTTATTAGAAAATAATCATAATAAATTTAATATATTTTCTAAAATTGATAAAAGAGATGATAAAAAAAAAAAACAAGAAAAGAGAAAATCTCAAATATCAATATTGACAAATATTAGCGAATTAGATAAGGAAGCAGCAGAAATTATTAAAAATAAACAGAGAGAAAAAGAAAAGAAAATAAAAGAAGAAAAAGGCAATCAAATATATTTTCAAAATTTTACACCAGAAAAAAACAAGAATGAAAACATTATTGAAGAAAAGGGAAAAATGGTCAAATCACCGATAAAAGACTCGGAAAATGAAGAAAATTTAACGGAAAACAAAAATGATTTGAATGAAAATGAAAAAAATAAAGAATTAAAATTAGATAATTTAAATGAAAATAAATTAAAAAAAGACAATGAAATCCTTTATTTTAGTGATCCTTGGGTTTGTTCGAAATGCACTCTGGAAAATCCCGGCTGGAGAGTTTTTTGTGAAATATGCAGTTCGGTTAAACCAAAATTTTTATTTAATACAAATGATAAAAATTTATTATCAAAGGGTAAAATTTCAGAGAATTTAAACGAAAGGCAAAAATTATTATCAAAAATTGAAGAGCATCAATCGAAAATCGATCAAAATAAATTTAATAATAAAGATAAAATCGAAATTAAAAAATTTACAGGTACGGTAGATATAAATTCCAATAATGAAAAAGAAACGAAAGATTTTCATATGGAAAATAATGAAAAATCACAAGATTCTAAAAATTCTTCGGAAATTTTCAAAAGTAAAACCGAAATTGAAAAACCTACTACAAAAACAATCGAAGCTTATGTAATAACAAAAACAACAATTTTAGAAGATATTATAATAAAAAAAAATGATGATCGTTCATCGATTCCTTCAACTTCAACTCAATCCGATGCAATTTCGAACCAAAATAATAAAAATAAAAAAGAAAATTTTGAACAAATCCCACAAACATCAAACCGTGAAAACGATTTGAAAAAAAATTCTAAAATCGAAAAACAAAAATCATTATTATCAAATACGGAACCTTCCACACCTTTCGAAAAAAATGAAAATTTTGATGAATTGATTAAGAAATTGAAGAAACCGGAAAATTTATTAAAATTCAAATCCGATATTAAACTCATTGCAAAAACAAATAAAATGAATGAAGTTGAAGTAGATGAAACATTGGAAAAATTACAAGAAGCCATATTAAATAATAATAATAATTATGATGATGCTGTCGTTTGGGCAAAAAAATTGGCATTAATGAAAATTAATTTAAACAAAACAACAACGGATTTAACGGATAAATTAACGCCAGAAAATTTAAAAATTGTGTAAGTCGTCATTGTTTTTTCTATTTTTTTTTTGCTTTTAAACCTTAATAATATCTTATATTTATTTAATTAAATATATTTTTTTATATGATTACCTAAAATCTATTTTTTTTTTCAATATATCCTAAAGCCCTTATTATTAGAATAATTATATAAATCCTACTTTTATATTAACATATCATCATCATCATCATGATCAATTTAAATATTAAAAAAAATTTAAATTACAATGAAAAGTGTTTTTCATAAGAATTAATAAATAATTTAAAAATAATTTCTAGCTTAGATATGTACGTGGAAAATAAGGACTCACATCAAGGACCGATACAAATCAAAGTTTCACCGACGATGACACTTTTACAATTAAAAGAAAAAATTCATAAAGAATTAGGGATACCTGTAAACATACAAAGATGGATTTTAGGAAAAACTTTGGCTGTTGATGATAACAAAACACTCGAATCTGATGGCGTAAAACATGATTTCACATCAATTTTTCTTTATTTAATTGATCCCGGTTAGTTTACCAATTATTATTATTATTTTTAAGGGAAAAAAATTCAAATTAATTTTTTTTTTCTAATTTTCAGATAAAACTTTAAATACTACAACACAAAAACAAAACGAAAAAATCAAGGTAAATAAAACGTTGGATTTAAAAGAAAAACCTGAAGATAATCAGGGAAAAAATGAAGAAAATTTTAATGCAAACGAAGAAAGACAGTCATCATCAGACAAACAAGTCACAAAAAATTTTCACGTTGATAAAAAGGAAAATTTTGTACAAAATTTTGACAAAGTACCTAAAATAATGACTGAAAATAATGTTAAAAAAAGAGTTGAAATATTTAATAAAAATTTTGGAGAAAAACAAAAAATTAAATCGCCTAAAAATTTAAACTACTCAGGAAATAATTTAAGTGAAAATAAAAATGTTGGGGTAAAGAGTGTACCTTGTAATTCTAAAACATTCGTGAACCAAGAAAAACCTGAAAATAATGGACCTGAGTTATCATCAACAAAAGAAAAAGTAATAATTGATTAAATAATGTAAATGAGTAATAATGATCTTAATATATAATTTTAAAATATAATTTCCAGGATGAATTTCACAATCAGAAAATTAAATCTGACAATGATTTGCACTATAAAAAATTAGTCGAACTACAAGATTCGGATCTTGTACCTAATGTAGAACCTTTCAACTGTACAATTTGCTTAATGGATTATTTGCCTGGTCAAGGAATTATTCTCAAAGATTGTCTTCACACATTTTGCAGGTGAAAAATCAAAACAAAATTTTTAATAAAAAGCAAAATAAATAAGTTTAATTATAAAAATTGTTTCTTTTTCAAACAGAGAATGTTTAATTGAAACTGTACAATTTAGCGAAGATGCTGAAGTTAAATGTCCTTACATAGATGAAACCTACAGCTGTACAAGCGTTTTGCAACAGAGAGAAATAAAAGGAGTAAGTTGAATTTTTATTACATTTCATTAATTTGTTTTTTTAAAAATTAATTTAAAATAAAACTTATTATTAATTTTAGTTGGTACCTCAAAAAGTTTTCGATCAACATTTAGCGAAATCAGTTAAAGAAGCTGAAAACAAAATAGAAAATACTTTCCATTGTAAGACACCAGATTGTAAAGGATGGTGTATATATGAAGATAATTTAAATGAATTTTTATGTCCTGTATGCAATTATAATAATTGTCTCACTTGTCATGCAATACATTCAGGAATGAATTGTAGGCAATATCAAGAAAAAATGAAAAATGACTCTGAAACAGATGCAGATGCAAAAAAAACTAGACTCGTATTAGAAGTAAGAAAAATAAATAACGACAAGAGAGGGTAGGTGGTATTCCATAACATTATTTAAAAATGTTTATGTTTTAGGAAATGGTAGCTAAAGGAGAAGCAATGAGTTGTCCAAAATGCCAAATTATTGTTATGAAAAAATGGGGATGCGACTGGTTAAAATGTTCTATGTGTAAGACTGAGATTTGTTGGGTAACAAGAGGTTTTAGATGGGGACCTGGGGTTAGTTACTTTTCATTTTATCATTGATATTTATTAACTTGATATATAATTTTTCTTAGTAGAATATTTTTTATTTTTTTAGGGAAAAGGTGATACTTCAGGTGGATGTAAATGTGGGGTAAAAGGAATTAAATGTCATCCTAAATGTAATTACTGCCATTAAAATATCTAATATCTAATATTGATTAAATAATTTTATACTGAATTACCTTAATAAAAATAAATAATAAATTTTTTTTAAATTAGTTGATCTAACTGATAATTTACATAAACCTAAACCGAGTAATTAAAATATTATTACTTAAGATTAACAATAATAATGTAGAATTACGAGGAACCCACAACAATACACAGAATTTTTAAAACTTCATTTTTTATAAATTTAAAATAAATCATTTTTACTGTTCATTATATAAATAGCGATAATTAATTATGTGTAAAATACAAAGAACTTACTAAAGCTTATGATAATTTTCTCAATTAGTAGCGATTCTCCAATGGTTAGTAATGTTAGATTTTGCCTGATTTATAAAATGTTTGCATTTCCATAGATAGAAAAAAAATTAAAATTAAAGGCTCTATTTTGCTAATTCAAAACGTAAATCAATAGTAAATTTGCCGCGTCATAGAGTAATATAAAATATCTATGACGGAAGCTAAAGCAGAGAATACAACACGAGGTCTTATTCAACATCCTGAAGAAATTGAAGCATCATGTCCAAAAGAGGACGTGGAGGTTCAGCAGGAGCGAAGTTTAGAATATCGCTCGGTTTGCCTGTTGGTGCAGTTATAAATTGTGCAGACAACACAGGAGCCAAAAATTTATATGTTATCGCCGTGCAAGGAATTAAAGGAAGGCTGAACAGGCTTCCTGCTGCTGGTTCTGGTGACATGTTTGTGGCAACTGTTAAAAAGGGAAAACCAGAATTAAGGAAAAAGGTAAAATTGTTTTTTTAAAAACCAAAATTTCTACAACCTAGAGCTTAATTTTTGTAATTCACAGTGATGTATGGTTTCGAAATGTAGCATGACATTGTCAATGTGTATTTTCTAATGTTTTACAAATTGTTATTTAAGCCTTAAACATTAATTGTTAATGGGTTATATGAACTAAAGTAAGTTTCAATTGATTTTGTAGGTAATGCCTGCGGTCGTTATTCGACAGCGGAAACCGTTTAGGAGGAAGGACGGGGTTTTTATATACTTTGAGGATAATGCTGGTGTTATAGTCAACAACAAGGGAGAAATGAAAGGAAGTGCTATCACTGGACCAGTTGCTAAGGAATGTGCTGATTTGTGGCCTAGGATTGCTAGTAATGCCTCTAGTATAGCTTAATTAACAACAGCAATTTTAAATAAAATTTATTTGTTCAAAGAGTTTTTTTTTTTTCTCTTCAATTACTCATATATATTTACATTTAATGTTCCTTAAATTTATATTTATTACCTCATTAAAATATTGTTAACTTCTGTCTGTCTCTTCTTTGATCTTGTTCTCTCTTGACATTCTTTTCAGATTCATACAATTGTGAAAGTTTTTTTTCTTTTGTCATCAGTTTCTCTGTAAAATAAATATGAAAACCTTCCATTATTAATCTTACTCAAAAACCTTTTGTTAAAGTTACATAAACTACTTGCCTTTAATAATATTATGATTGTGTGATAAAGGTTTGTGCCTTGCCAATGACTGATTTAATGATTGAACTTCTTTCTCAATCTTTTTAATTTCCTCTGACAACTTCAAATGTGTCACATTTAAATTTCTTGTAGTTTTGCATTTAAGTGTTTCCTCTTTTTCTGTTGAAGGTATATCATTCACAGGATGTAGTCTTCTGTTGAGGAAAGCAAAAATATCAGTTTCCTCTTTTTTTTCTCATTTTCATAAGCTTTTTTCAATTTTGCTTTGTGTTTCTTCTGTAAATTTTTCATTTTTCTTTCAACCCTAAACAAATCAACATCATTTCCTGCCTTCTGCCTTAAAATCATACAATGATCTATAAAAGAAAAAGTTACAAAATTCTTTGTAATAATAAAACATATATATACATATTAATTATAAAGCAATAATAACTCATGATCACATTTCTTAATTACCTAGTGATTTTCCAGGAGGAAAAACTGTAGCAGGAACTGGATCAACTCTACCTAAACCATTTTTTCCAAGTCCTGAACCATGAATGTAGCCCATTTTCGCCATTATTTTTGATCCAAAACCCTAAAAATTTTTTAAAAAAATATTTTACTTACATTTAATCATATTTTATTATGAGTAAAATAAAAAAAAAACCAACTTTAGTATACTTTTCCCAACTTCCTAAAGCAGATACTGAAGGACTATTTAAAATTCTTTGAATTGTGATTTTTTTCTCATCGTCTGTATCATATTCTAAGTCATCACTACTCTCAGAATCACTCATAGAAAGTTCTCCACTATTATAATTTGAATCTAACAAATCAAAAAAATAAATAAAAAACTTTTTAGTTATACATTAAAAAATTCATTACACATACATAAAAATTATTTACTAATTATTTTTATGAATTCGAGAATAATTTTTTATTTCAAAATTTTGGTCAATTAAATAACATTACCGAGTAGTAAAATATTATGTAAAGGTATTTCACTTTCTGTACTATTGAATTCAAATTTAACTTGGCACAAGTCCTCTTTTACATTTATAACAACAGCTCTGTGCCATAGTTCATCACTTTGTTTTGCCAATACTTGACATCCCTTGGAAATTCTAGAAAATATTGGTTCCCTGAAACAGCAAATCCAGATTTTAGACATTAATTTTAGTGAATTTATGAAAAGTAAAAATAAGCAAAACTAATCATTATTACCATAGTACATATAAAAAAGCAATTCAAAGTAAAAAATATTAATTTTTTAATTAAGTCATACATACATATACATATAATAAAATTTTTAACAGATTTACATTTATTTTTAATGATAATATTGACTAATTTAATTATTATATACATATATATGCATACATTTGCCAATTTATCTATACATTAATCAGTAATAAATCAGAAAATTATTATTTGTTTGTAGATAATGAAAAATGTTCGTACCTATATTTTTTTAAACTACTTATTAAAACTAGTTCGCCATGCGAGTATTTGCATTTTTCATCATCAAATTTGCAATCTCCCTTGAGGTAATAAGGACATGGTAGCATCTCTTTATGAGTTGGATTTGTAAACATTACTTTAACTTTGGTTTCATTTGAATTTAATGGGTAAATGCTTTCAGGGATGTGAGACACAACTGCATTATGGTATGTAACATTATTTGTCCATTTGTAAATGTAAGGAGCTTGACATTTCATTCCGAGTAAATCTTTTTGATCAGTAATTTCAAGTTCCTTAGGTAATAAATTTAAAATATTACTAGTCGTTTCTTGTTTTGAACATTTTTCATCGTTTTCTGTAGTCTCAGAATCTAATTCTGCTAACTCAGCCTGTACAATATAAAAAATTAAAAAAACAAATATTATATTAGAAATAAAACATAGTCATTCTTCAAATATGTGAATTCAAATCTTATAAATCAATATTAAACATTTTCGATTTGTGTGATCATACATTCAGGATTCCAAAATAAAAGTCGATATAAAAATTACCTTAAAAATTTTATATTCTTCCGATAATAAATCATTTTGAGATTCAGTGTTTAGATTGGAATTTTCACTAAAATAATTATTAGATAAAGCTATAAGCTCTTTTAAATCTGACTCTAAAGTTAAAAGACTTTGCTTTTCAGGCCCATCAGGTAATTCAGAAATAGCTTTTTGAACTTGATCTAACTGAAAAGAAAAATTTACAATTTTAAACCTATTATTTTACACTGTATTTTACTATACATTATCATTAAAAAAGTAAAAATTTTACCTGAGATTTGTACTCACAAATTTCGTCTTCTGTGGTATTCATAATAAATATTTTTGAAAATTATTTCAATAATTAAAAATTTTTTATACATACATCAATTTTCTATGAAAAACATGCTATATGTTAACTTTGACATTGAAAAAGAGCCATTGAAAACAATAACTAATATAACGTTCTTTTATAAAACAGTTTTGCAAATAATTATTTACATAAAATTTCATATTTTAATATTTGACTTAAAAAAATTTATGTAATAAATATACATAATTTGATTTACTTAATTAAAAGCCATAAATAATTACTAGAAAACTTATACTTAATTTTCCTCCATGTAATCTATGGCTCTCTTCATGGCTGTCACAAATACGTGGGAACAACAAGCAATTTAATATGGTTTTTTTTTATTGAGGTTATAAAATTTAAAATTTATTGAATGCCATGTAAAATCATTTCCAAAAGAATCAAAAATTAATTTTATTAAATAAAGTAATCGATTTACATCCATGGAAAACTTAATTCAACTCCATTATTGTTTTGAATTGTTTGATAATATTATGGAAAATCAATTGAAAAACTGAAAATTTAATTTTTTTACTAAAATATATTTATACTTATATTGTAAAATATACTTATATTATACTTATATTTTAAAATAAACTAAAGATAAAAAAAATTAAAGGAAATTGGTAATTAAAAACCATAAATAATAAAAAAAATGTAAATTTTTAAACTGATTTATTATAAAGCTCATATATAAAAAATAGTTTAATTATATATAAATTATTTGCAAAAAGCTAATTAAAAAAAAACATTATTATCATTATCAATATTAAAAAAAAAACATAACCATTTAATAATAAAAAAGTGAGATACATAACTTATTTTCTTATTAGTACTAATTGTTTATTAAAATTAAATTTCCAAAACTTTAAATTTAAAAAATTAATTGAAATATTAAAATTACCATAAAGAAATTAATATAAAGTTAAAATAAAATAATAATTAAAATTAGTATAATAAAAAACTCATATTGATAATTAAACCTAATAAATAACATAATTTTTTAAAATAATGTAAAAACTATTTTAAAAAAATTTTTTTTTAATTTGAAAAATACATAAAATATATTAAAAATAAATTTAATTCATTTCATTTTAGTCTTCATTTGAATTACTCACTTAATATTCCAATAATTTTAAGAGAAAAATTTCTTTAAAAAAATACACATTGAATTTTTTAAAAAATAATAATAATATATAAATAAAACAAATGATAATAATTATTATTAACAAAAAAAAAAAATGTAAGCTGGTAATTTTTTAATTTATATCTTCTTCATTAGCCAAAAAAATTCGTGATAAGGTGAAAATGTAAAAATTTATTATTTCTTGTTGTGCAATACATAAAAAAAAAAAAAAATAAATAATTTAATTTTGAGCGCGAAATTAAATTTTTTTTCTTTTTTTTTTTTTTCAAGCAGCAAATACAAATTTATTAAAATATATATATATTGTTAATGTAAAACTTGTTTAAACAAGAGATGCTGTGTTTGTTTCAAGTTCTTTGCTTAAACATTTATCTTTATTTTTTTGACGAACCATTTCCACTCTTTGTTCCTAAAAAAAAAAAAAAATAAAAAATATTATTTTAATTTTCATATGAAACTTTTAAATTTTTTACCTCGAATATATTAGTTAAAATAAATTTTAATCAAAATTTAAATGGGAAAATTTATAAATTTTTTTTTTTTTTTAAATGTCTACAAACCTTATGTAGATGATTTTCGTCTATAAATTTGTATTCATACGAATAAATTAATTTTCATAGTAAAATACTTACACGAATTTTTAATTTTTGTTTTAAAGCATCCTCAATTGATAAACGTCGTGCTTTAGCTGATAAAAGTTTATTTCCTATTTGATTTTTAAATTTCCTAATTTTTCTGATTTATTTCTCTAACTCTTTTAGTTTGTTCCTCCTAAATAAGCAGTAAAATAAAAATAATAGCAAAGCAACAACAACAACAAAAAATTTTATGCTGACTAGTAAAATAAAATAAAAATAAATAAAATAATAAAACGTGTGTAAAATTAAAATATGAAACAACCAAAAAAAAAAAAATTTAAATTTAAATTGTGTTAATTACTTACCCATCTGATTATAATAACAGATTAGTGTTGCTTATTATTGTTAACAACATTTTAAATTATTTTATGTAAAATGTAATACTCACATGTTCCCTTAATTTTATCAACATTTTTTTTAAATTTTCATCTCTTTGATTAGCAGCTGATTTAAGTTTTTCTTGTATTGATGCCGCCACTTCAGCCGTTTGTTGTTCCAAATTTAAACGAGTTTTTTCAACTCCTTCTAACTAAAATAATCAATTTTTTTTAAATATTAGGGTAAACATATAAAAAAAGAAAAAATACACACACACACATATAGTTTAACTCAAATCTGATGCATAAACAATTTTAATTGACAAGGGGAGAAATTTTTTTTAGCTTTAAGGAGAAAATAAACTTTTTGTATAAAAATTGATTAATGGTAGAGGATTTATTATAGGAAACATACATGTTCCTTAAGCTTCGCTTTAAGATCATTGATATGAGATTCGCGATTTTCTTCATAAGAAGCTATTTTTTGCTTCAATGCCTCTTCTGTTTGCTGTATAAATTGTTTTTCTTGTTCATCATATTTCTTTCGTGCATCTTCAATTTTAGCTAACTTGGCTGATAAAATTGCTACCTGACTTGCAGTTAATGACTAAAAAAAAAAAAATTTTTTTGATCACAGAGAGAATTAATATGAATATAATAATTTTTTTTTTGGATAAATAAAAAAAAAAAAAATAATACTTTTCGTCTGTCTTCTGCTGCTTTTAACTTTTCTTCAATATCAGCTACTGAAACAATTTTAGGTGGGGAAAGTGGTCTTTTAGGAGGGGTTAATACAACAGGATCAGCAAGTCTTAACTCAAATGACATTCCTCCTTTACTGCTTTCCTGACATCGAACTTCAGTATCTGAAACAAAAAAATAATAAATTTCAAATAAAAAACAAATAAATATCTTGTAGAATGTTGCATTGAGTAATTTAAAAAAAAAAAATAATTTTGTACGGATATCGATTTTTGTCGTGCATGACAGGTAATATTCTGAAAACATTAAAAATCCTTTTAATTTTCTATATTTAAATCAATTTTGGGTAAAATAATCATAACAAAAAAAAACGAAAATATTTACGGAATATGGTAAATGAAGAAATTAACCGATGATGAATAATTTTATTTAAAAAAAAAATGCAAAAACTGAACTGTGGGTATTTTAATAAATTTATTTAACTTTAAATTAAAGGCAAATAAATTTATTTATTTTAAATTTAAAAGTTTAGACTAATAATACAGGAATGTTCAAAAATATAGGGAATGTTTTAATAAGTAATAGAATTAGGGAGCTTGATCAGATATAAAAATTTTTACATTTACCAAGTATAATATTAGGGGAATATATGTATATATATATATATATATATATATATAGATTTTTTTTTTTTTAGGGGGACAAAATA